CACGTGCCCTGTAGCAGAAACCTCTCCAAAAAAAAGAAGCAGCACAGGTCCGGACCAGCCGATGGCATAACAGCTAGCGCGATGAACTCCCACAGAATCCACCTCCGATCGCGTCCCGGACCCAGTGGCTTCAAACTCACACCAGGAGCATGTGTGCATGTCCAAGATCCCAAGAGGAGAGTGGAGAAGGGACTGCAGTGTGGCCGTCTCCCCTGGGGGGTGATTTCTCAGGAGCGCCAGTGCCCTATAGCAAAATGCTCTCTTAAAACAAACAAGGAACGCGGGCCACAGCCCAGCAGCTCTGGTTAGCCAGTAGAGAAGCTGGCAGACCGCTTGGGCCGCGGACAGCCAGGGGCCAGTTGGGAGGGGCACTGGAGGTTGACTGGTCCTCACTCCAGCATCTCGTCCCCCCGGGCCCTCCTAGCAGCTCCGTTTCTATTTTCAAGGTAAATTCATTTCCAAGTAAACGGGCTCCATGTCTGCTCTTGAGGAAACGTAAGCAAAGGAAGGTCGGCCGAGCATCCCCTGCCCGCCACAGCTTTGTTTCCAGACGGCATGTGGGTTTGCTCCCGCAGGAAAATGGCAGGACTCTGGTGCTATGCTGGGGCCAAGCTGTCCCTCCCTCTGGGTGTTACGGTATGTCGGGGTGTGGTTTGTGGCTTCCACGTCTGCTTTTCATCCGAGGAGGGAAGAGGCATGAGGAATGACGGATGGAGCTGGGACCGTGGTCACAGAGTGGACGGCTGGTGTCTGACCTCAGCCCGAGTGACACGTCGGGCTGAGTGGTCCCTCGTCGTGGGGGAAGTGCCGTGCACCGCAGGAAGTGTAACAGCATCGCTACCAGGCAATAGTGTCCCCATTCTGGCGTGACAACCAAACACGCCAGCCTGGATTTGGTTTTTGCTCAGTATGGTTTGGTTTGGCTTCTAGTTTTGAAAGTGACATAAACCTACCCTGGACACCAGAGAGGTACGATTGGCCCTTTTGCCTCTCCTACCAGCCAGGCCCGAGGGCTATGGAGGAGAACAGAGGCGGAAATGCTGAAATGCCATCAGGGCTGGCCCCAGGCAGGCTGGAGGGAGTAGCTGGCAGTCGGCCTCCCTCTGCGCTCACGGCACCTCGGGTCCCACCATCAGGGGCAAGAGGCAGTGGAGGAGGATGTGGGAGTTGGAACTGGGACCAGTCCTGATGACACCTGGGGAGAAGGCAAGCAGACGCCCGAGGCGGCGGGTGCTGGGCAGGGTATGCTCAAGGGGCTCCGCTCGAGGGCTGGCCCAAGTCCCATCCTTACAGGGCTGCTTCCAAGACAACGACCAGTCGCTGAGCAGAGACCCCTCCAGACTCAGAAGTCTTAAAATTATGGTTCTTAATCTTTTTGTACAACAGATCCCTTTGGAAGTCTGGCGAAGCCTTTAGATTCCTTCCTGGAATGATATTTTTAAATGCATAAAAAGAAAGAACTAAAAAGAAAACCAATAATCCTGAAATAAGGTTACCAGCACGTTTCGGATAAACAGGGAGTAGGTCTTTTTTACTGTGGGAAATGACAAAATCCAGCAGAGTTTTGGGGTTTGTTTTTGGTTTTGTTTTAAGAAAACATTTCGGAAGCCTTTATTTACAAAACAATATCCTCTGTTTACAAATAATGTTTTATTTAAAAAGGACCACCCAAGTTACAGCATCAAAAGATCATGAATAGAGAACGTAGGAGGAAAACAAACCAATGCGACTAGCCTTTGGAGGTGTGCTGGTATTACTGATTGACGTGCAGGCAACACCATTCTAATGTAGCCCCTCATTTCAGGCCCATCCGTGATGACCAAAGCCTTCCTACACATGCCCTGCTCTGGCCACGTAGTCTGCATGGCTGAGTATTTCGCAGTCTCTTTTAAATATGTATAAAACAGATTGCAAAGATATACACAAAATATAAACAGGCATTACACTCCTCAGGTAATTTTATTAGCTGTGTGTGTGTGTGTGTTTATATATATTTATATATATATATAGTATTTTGTTTTGCATCATAGTGCTCCATTATTTACCTTCGTAGCAACTATGAAAGCACCATCTTTGTCTTCTAATTTAACTTGGTACGAAATGTACCTAAAGACTCGTTAGCTCTGGGTTTTAATAAAACCGACTTGTAATCAACGAATCAAGGGCATCATGTGTACGGCTATAAAACGGAAGGATAAGGGTCAACAGTGATGGAGTAAAAAGCTGAGGTTCTTTAAAGTCTCAAAATTCAGTTCAAAGAAACGACGCCTACCCCCTCCTCAGTGTAGCCAGCGCACACGGACATGTATCCAAATTCTTCTCCAGATTTACACACGTTCTCAGGGAGCCCAGGCGTTGGGAGTTTTTTCTGCCTTCCAGGGTCTGCAGGTTGCACGTGGCTTTTCCCTGCACCGTGCAGAGGCAGGTATGAAATGCACGCCACACGCTTCCTACGCACGCAGCGAGCTGCACTCGGCAACATCCGTGACCCCGACAGACCGCAGAACAGCAGGAGTAACGGAGAAGAGGAAATCACATCACAGACAACCTAGCCGACGCCCCCGTCCCCGCCCCTGCCGGTGGGTACCGACACCAGGCAATGTCCCACCACCAGCTGTGTTTTCTGCTTCCCTCTTCCCCTGCCCTTCTCAGTTTTTCTACAGGTCATCTGTCTCTGTCACTAACCCCAAACTTGTTTAGCCAAAACTATCAACTCTCTCACCAAATATTTAACAAGTCCTCACAAGGCAATTAGAGACATGTGTGTCCATCCTAGAGGTGACGGGGGAGCCACTCCTTTCGTAATATCTCCACTTACCAGTTCTTGCTCTTCTTTCTTCCTTCCTTCTTCTTCTTCTTTTTTTTTTTTTTTAAGTTTTGCTATGGGGCATGTGCACTCACCAGAGAGAGACAGAGTGGGGAGGGAGGGGAAAGACCCACTTCCCCAAGGTAGGATGGCCACCCTGCAATCCCCTCTCCTTCATGCTCCTTTCAGGACTTGGAGCATGCACCACACCTGCCCAGCATATCTTTCGAGCCACTGGGTCTGGGACTTGAACTGTGAAGTTAGCCATGTAGGATCCAGCTGCCTTAATCACCACACCGCCAGCCGGCTGAGCTTTTGTCAAATTCTTCCTCTCCTCTCTCCATTACACCCCCATGTTTTCCCTCTCATATCGCCTCGAAGTGCTTCAATCCCAGTGCGATGTATTTTAGAGGTTTATTTTTTGTTCTTTTTTGTTTGCTTGTTTTTTGTTTTTTGCTATAGGGCGTGTGCGCTCACCAGACAGAGAGAAAGAGACAGAGAGATAGAAAGCAAGAAACCACCCCCCAGGGAGAATGGCCACGCCGCAATCCCTTCTCCTCCATTCTCCTCTCGGGATCTTGGGCACACACGCACATGCGACCAGCGTGAGTTTAAGCCACCGGGTCCGGGACATGAACGTGGTCGACTACGTGGGAGTCCAGCAACATACAGTAACTGCTGGTTCCCCCCCCCAGTACGATGTATTTTAGGCAGCATGTAGCACACCACAGGCTGACAGCAGAGAGGGGTGAAGACCATACTGCAGCACAGTACAGACAGACGACCGAGTGCGGGACGTCGCCACCTTGAAGTCCTTCTACCATGTCTATGAACAGAGTCAGCGATTCCAGGTGGCGCTGAGGACATGGAGCAACCGGAACCCCCCTCCGTCACACCCATGCAAGAACGCTGTTTGGCACTATTTCCAAAGCTGAGCACAAATACTTGCTGGCCCTGTGATTCTGCTCCTAGGTACATACCTTACATAAATACATTCACATTTTTACCAAAAGAGATATAGAAACATGTTCATAGCACCACTGATCTCAACAGTTAAAAGTTGAAAATAATCTAAACATCCGTTAAAGGCAGACTATATAAATAATATGTGAAATGTAAGACAATACAGAAATGGGAATAAATGAAATACAACTACATACAGCACAGATCAAATGTACACATTAGTAAGTGGATGAAGATTCCATTTATACTAAATTGAAAAGTAGCCTGCACTAATCCGTGGTGTTGAAAATCACAGTATTAATTACCTTCAGTTAATATAAGGACATGCGTAGGGGACAGGGATGGCTTCTGGAGTTCTGAAATGTGCCGTTTTGATCTGAGCCTGGTCACACGGGTGTGTGCTGTGTGGACATCCCTGAAGCTACACGCTCACGGTTGCACCCTTCTTTCCTTGTGCATGTTTGAGTAAACAGATGGCTGTACCCTTCCCTTTCTCTCCCAGACCTCGGCCTGCCTGGAGAGATTTTAGGTTCACCTTCTCCCAGCACCAGTCCCTTAGAAATGACTCAAGTGAAGATAAATCTGTAATGTTGGGTAACAGGGCCAGGCCCTGCAAAAATTCCGATCTGGGCCAAACCCTGGCCTCCGAACTGCAGGCCGACATGGTTCCAAGCCAAAGGAGAAGCTTCTTGGCATGGAGGGGAACGTCTCTTACCATGGCCTCGCTCCAGCAAGCAGGTACCCTGCGGCAGGTGAGGAGAGGCAGGCAGCCATGCAGGTGGAGACTGGGGAGTTTCCATGGAAACTGAAGGCCATGCTGTGTTTCCTGGCCGGTGTTTGGCAGAGCTAGGAAACTTAGTACTAGGTTCATCGCTACCGTAGCCTGCAAGTGGCTTCTCAGGCCACACATGTCACCAGCACAATGGTGCCACCTTGTTTTGTGCCTCAACACAAAGTTCACTAAGAGAATTTGTGCGGCTCTTCCTGCCGATAGGGTATTTTCGGTGATCGTATGTTCTACTTGGCCTCCAAAGTTCTTCCATTTTTATGAGCCTTCTCTCTCTCCTTTCACCTTCTGTCTTCTCTTTTTAGAGACACTACAACCAACCCCTAAACCACCATTTTTGTTTGTTTGTTTGTTTGTTTTTAGCTTTTTTTTTTTTTTTTTTGGTCAGAGAGAGAGAGAGAGAAAGATACAGAGAAAGTGAAAGCGAGAAATCATCCCCCAGTGGAGATGGCCACGCCATAATCCCTTCTCCATTCTTCTCTCGGGATTTGGGGCATGCACACATTTGTGACCAGCATGATTTTTAAGTTGCTGGGTCTGGGACTTGAACCATAGTCACATCTGTGGGAATCTCGTGCTCTAAGCACCCTGCCACCTGCTGACCCTCGTCCTGTTCATTTCTTATGTAGAGCTGATTAAGTATTGCCCTATCTTACCTTAACCTACCCACGGAGATCTCATATCAATACCTAACATTAAAACATAGCTTCCTCTCAGGAGAGGCTGGGAGGAATTTAAAAATCCTTTTCTTAAGCTGGACAGGGAATGGCTAATCCTGTCTAGAGACACTCAGAACCCACATGTTGTCGAAGTCTTCGTTACCTACGACATGGCTGCAGCTACTCTTGTCCCTAACTCGCTGCCTCAAACTCTCCTGAAGCGGTAACACACGGCCGAGGTCTCGCCGCCACCACCACCACCAGTGCCCGCTGTCTAAGTACGGCGCCGGCACGGCCTCCCGGGGCCACTCAGCTCTGTACTCTGTGACGGCAGGGGCCCCGTGGCTGGTCCTAGGTGTCCAGTATTGGGGTGTTTTGTTTGGGGGAAGGCAGGGAGGAGAGAGGAAACTTACGAGCCTAGTGAAACCTGGAAAAGGCGCTTTACTGAACAGACTGAGACTGCGTTACTTCCTGTGTCACACGCTAACGCCCCCCCCACACACACACTTGTGCTGTGTAAATCTTGTGTGCTCTTGAGCATGACTCCGTGGGTCTTACTTGAATTACAGCCAGTAGTAGGCGCCTTCTAGGCCTCACATAGCAGAAGTCGCAGGCAAAGGGGTGTGACAGTCCCTGGAACAGCCCGGGGTCTCCGACAAAGAATTCCGAGACCTCCCCTTGGCCTGTCAAGTCTCTCCTTAGACCTGTCGCTCCGTGGAAACAAGGCACATTTACAGAGTGTCACTAATATTCAAAGGTATTGTTCTTGGAGTGGGGAAAACTGTGTGCAAACGTCACGACTACAGACAGCCAGCGTCTTAGGCTCGGATTCCCCAGAACTGCGATCTATGGAGGGGCGCTGTGTGCAAGACAGGCCCCTGTTAGACTCGGGCCCCTGCACCCCTGCGTCTGCAGCCCCTTTCTTCTTGCAGCACTTCCGAAGCCGTCGGAATGAGAAAGATCCACCTCTAATCATTCCTGCAAACCGTGCAGGGAAATTAAAAAATGAGCTGCAGCTGTCGGTTGGTCATCTTGGATTCGAACTCCTGGACTTCAGAAATAACGAAGCTTGGCGTGACATCGGCACACCCGTTCTGGCCGCCTTTCTTGGAGAAACGAAATAAGAAACCAGCCATCTTTCAGGAAAGTGCCAGAGGAACTTACTTTGACGAGATAAGTCTTCTTAAATTATGTATAAAGTGGGATGCCTCAGAGCTGAAGGCAGGTTCTGATTTTTCCCGACAACGGGCATGGCTGGAAATAGAGATGTCACCAGGGTGTACTCGAAGAGGAACGCTGGTTCTCCCTTAGACTGGAATGCAAGGTGCTGTCACCCAAATAATCAGATAACGTGTGAAAACAACGTGTTCAACGACAACTGAGACGATAACAAGACATTTCCAGAATGCCCGCATTCTCAGCATGTTCCCTACGAAACTATGTACAGGTCAAGGGCGCCTTCCGCAGGGCAGGCTCCTCTGTGCCGTAAGTTGGCAGGATTTGTTTTCGGCGTCGAAGCATGGCCGCTGAAACAACGAGGGCCACCTCTTCAGGAAACAGCGCCCTCGGGAAGGACCAGGTGTGCACGCGCCCTTGGGATCTCGGGCTAGGCTGGCGAAGCGACTGGAAGGCGGATGCGGGTTCCTGTCCCTTCTTCACACAGAGGGTGTGGGAGCTGTTACAGGAAAACGAGAGTCTCAATGTGCCTCTCGCACGTGTAGAAAACGACTCTCAGAATAGCCTTAAATGCAAAAGAGTTTGAAGACTCTGTGGCCGCTAAGCTACTTCCAGGAACACTTTCAGCAGGTCTGGAGGAAGCGCTCCACCAGCAGCCCGAGCGGGAGTCCCTCCCGGGACAGTTTTGCAGGGTGACCCTCTGGTTGCCTCTCTATTTAGGTCACCAGGTTTCCGCGATCTCTGTGAGCACCTTCAGCAGCTCCGTGAATGTAGGGCGGCCTTTCGGTTTCTGAAAAAGAGAAACAGAGGCGTTCGATTTAGCTTAAGGCCCATGCAGACCCCAGCTCTGGAACATGCTGGTGAGGAGCCCGATCCGGGCTGGTTCTCCGTCAGAGGAAGAGCAAGGTACCTTCTTGTCTGATGCCCGGCGGCACAGCTCAGCACAGCTGGTGGTTGAGCAGGGCGTGGCTGTGAAAATGTGGGAGCAGAGACTTCTGCAAAAATGAAATGGCCAGGGACCAGCAGATGGCCAAATGGTTACATCACTGGACTCCCACATAGTCCACCACAGTTTGAGTCCCGGACCCGGCGGCTTAAAATTCATGCTGGGCGTGTGCACATTTGTGCCCAAGATCCCAAGAGAAGGCTGGAAGAGAAGAGATTGCAGCATGGCCATCCCCCTGGGGGCCGATTGTTCGCTTTCTGTTTCTCTGTCTCTCTGGTGAGTGCAAGTGCCCTATGGCAAAAAGCTCTAAAAAAGGAATGAAAGAGAGAGGGAGAGAAAGAAAGACAGGAAGGAGAAAGAGAAAGAAAGGAGCAGAGCTGGAAACTGTAGCCACTTGTGGCTATTGAAATGAACAGAATTAATTAAAATAGAATTAAATAGCAGAATTAATACATTAATCAGAATTAAATAAATGTTTAAATTAGTCCTTCAGTCACACGAGCCACGTTTCAAGTCCTCCGTAGCCAGAGGTGGCGTCCACACTGGATGTCTCAGATACAGGCTCGTCTGTCATCGCAGAGGGTCCCAGGGGACGCGGCACCCTAGGACCTGTTTGGATGGCTTGATGTGTACGAGGTACAGGGAGGGCCGGGGGACAAGACTGGGATCTAGAGTGCCAGGCTCCCAAGCACGGCCCAGTTACCGACTACCGGGCCCCCCATAGCAAGAAGGGCTTCGGGTCAGCTCATGGTGTGGTGGGTAAGGGGCCGGATCCCATGTGGCCAACCACGTGGTTCCAATGGTTTCTCAACTCAGCAGCTTGAGAAACATGCCAGGCATGTGTATGTGCATGTCCAAAACCCCCAAAGGAGGGGGAGATGGAGGAATGGGATTGTGGTGTGGCCATTCTCTGTGGGGCTGCTTCCCCACCCCCAATCTCTCTCTGACACGCACCTGCATTTTCTGGCAAAAAAAGGAGTAGGAGGAGGGGAAAGAGAAGGAGGAAAGAGAAGGAGGAAAGAAGGAGAAGGAGGAGAAGAAGAAGAATTTCAGTTAGAAAGCAAAAGGCCTGTTTCATGAGGGACCCTGTATGTCCTGTGGATAGGCTGAGCTATCTTCAGTCTCAGGAGGCTCAGTGGACGGGGGACCATGGAGCCAGGAATTAGAGCATTTTCCCCATTCCACTGAGGAAGTGGTCGGCTCTGGCTCCTGAGGAGGACAGCACTCACACCTCTGAAATCCACAGCAAGTAGAACTCCCCTAGCAGCCACGTTCTCACGGGGTGAGGGGGAAGGTAAGGAGGGAGCACCGCCCTCTGCGCCGATCGACAGAGGACATGGACGAGAAGGACAGCACAGGAGACAATGTGAGCACGCACGAACGTCCTCCCTGAGACTCCAGGAGCACACGGTGGAGCTCCGTGCGGGGCTGAGACTCTGCAGGGAGAGCCTGTGAAACGGTTGTTGGTGGTAACAGGTGACACAGCCATATTTGAATCTAGAGGCACCTGAGAGCACTTAGGGTGACGTCACAGGCCAAATCCACTTTCTTACATAAATAAATCAACGTAACCAAAACGCTGGGTTCTTGTTTTTCAGTTTTGCCATTGGGCACTCAGCAAAGACAGAGAGAGAGAGGGAAAGTGAGAAAGCACCCCAAAGAGGAGATGGTCACAGCAAGCTCTTCTCCTCCATTCTTCCATGCGTGGAAGAGTGAGGTGATTGGAGCAGAGCCACATCAATAAAAACCCCTCCCTTCGTTTTCATGTGGTACAAAACAGGCCTGGCTCCCGCCCTGGTTTCTGCCCACCTGTTCTCAGCGGTAACACATCTCATCACTGGCGGGTCAGTAACAACAAGTTTCTGCAAGAACAATCCGGGCCAGCTCGGACCTGGAGCGTGTGCTGGACTCAGATGAAAGGCCATTACTCACTCAGAATGCACTGGGCCAGCCAGTGTCATGGCGGGTAAAGGGGTGCCTGGATCCCATGTGCATTTTGGACCCGAAGGCTTGAGGAGCACACTAGATGCATGTGCCTGTGTAGCCAAAATCCCAAAAGGAGGGAGAAATGGAGGGGATGGGATTACAGTATGCCCATCCCCCTGGGGGGAAACGCTCTCTCTCTTCCCCTGCCTCTCGTCTCTCTCTGGCAACTGCATGCACCCTGCAAATTTCTTCTTCATCGTCTTCTTCTTTTTTAAAAGAGATTTTTTGCTATAGGGCATGAGCACTCACTGGAGTTACAGAAAGAACTAGAAAGAGAAAGTGAGAAATCACCCCCCAGGGAGGATGGCCACACCACAATCGCTTCTCCCTCATTCTCCTCCCAGGATTCTGCGCATGCACTCATGCACTCGTACCCGGCGTGACCTCCGACCTCCACGGGACAGGAGGGCGCTCACCTCGTGCCAGCAGCTGTACATGACCTCGTACACAGACATGGGCGCCAGGTGGGGGCGGTACAGCCGTAAGCCTTTAGAGATGGCTTCCATCACTTGCAAGTTTGACTTATTTTCGAAAGGCATTTTTCCTTCTGTAAAAACTTCCCACATTAAAACCCCTGAAACAGAATACACAAAAACAAGGAATTAGAGAGCAGCGGGTGTCTGGACCTGAGAGGACTGTCTTGAACGCCCAGGCACCGCTTCCCCTCCAGCCTCTGAGCCATAACATCTGTGAGGCCATCGGGAAAGTCATGACATCTTTTTCTGTTTCTCTGTGCAAAAATGCATCCTGACTCTCCCAGCAACCCCACACACTAGGACTGGGGCTGTCCTGTGGAGGAAGCAGACCACGTGCACCTGGGTTTTCCAAGAGGCCCATCACTTGAAAATAATCCAAGTGAAATCAGTGCCCTTCCTCCCAGTGGGCCTGACTGCCTCCCTACCAGAGGAAAATGCGGGCAGCGTTTGCATTTCTAAGTCTCGCTCATGTCCCGTGCCCTGAAATCAACCAGCCTATCTGCCATTCCACCATAGCGACAGGGCCGTGGGAACCTCCACTGCCCGCCATGACCTGCTTTCCCGCCAGCGGATGGCAGTTTCCCCCTCTTACTCTGAAAGACGACACAGCTGGGGAGAGCCCAGAGGGTCTGGGGGGGGCTTTGTCCTTACAGAAGTACATGCTTGATAGTCATGGGTCAATTAATCAGTGAAACTCCTTCAAACACTCCCAGTGTGAGTTCATGTAATCATCCTCTTATTCTGCAAGTATTTATTAGGTATTGAGCAAGACCAGTCCATGTGCTCAGAAAGCTCACTGTCAGGGGTAGCGGCAGAACAGTGGCTCGGGAGAACACAGGACAGCCTAGTGTCCCGCAGCCCCTGACGGGGGCCTCGTGTTGCTCCCATTGGGCTCCAGGACGCGGGCCCACAAGGAACTGCTCCAGCAGAGCTTGGACCGTCCGGCTGAGCCGAGCATGCGCCAACAGAGAGCTAACGGGGTCAGTGATGCAAGCCCAGCCTCGCTGTGGCAATAACATCGCACCCTTGGGAGTCCAGACGCATGTCTCTCCAACCCCACGAGTCATCCAGGAAGGCCCGGGCGAAGGAGAACAAGTGGGTTTTTGCCTATGTATTATCCTTTTTCAAAGCTTATTTATTTCTTCTCTGAGCACGAGAGAGAGCCAACACTCACACAGGATTCCAATGCCACACTTGAACGTGGCCTCAGCCGGCCCTGGCACGTGTGCCCGGCATACTCACAGGCATCCCCGGCGTGGACCTGGCACCTTCCCAAGTGGGCCGGCCTTGCAGAGCTCCGCGTTTTACCACCACGCCACCACCCAGCCCTCATTCTTTGCTGTCTTAAAAAACCAATTCAAAGAATAAACTTGTCCTGTACCAACTTGTAATCTGACAGTGTCTCTTTCTCAGTGAAGAACAGTAGCCAGCATAAATATGATGGACAGATCCCAAGGAAGTCTATGTCCACACTCCACGAAATATAAAGGAAATAGAATGAAGGAGGCGGCACCATTTTTTTTAATTCAGATTTTCAGCTAAGGTTGCCCACGGAACAGCTGGACAGTGACAGGTGGCTTTTGCTCAGGTGCTGAGGCTTATTCATCCCCTTCAAAGCTCAGCGAAGCCGTCAGACTGTGCTCCCTTCAAGCATCCGTGTGGAGGAAGGTTGGCTGGGGCTGTTTTCTATTATAGATCGGTACACTCTGTGTCATGGTTTTACGGCAAAAGCTTAAAAGACCCACACACAGACCATGAGAAGGGTCTGACTCCTGCTGCCCAGGTCTGGCTGTGCGGGACACACAGGGAGCAGCACAGCTACAGAAACGCGTTCAAAGACGAAGAAACGTGTCCATCGTGCGAAGGAGCCCACATCCAGCACGAAAGACTGTCCGTGTTACTAGCTCAGACGGCCCCACGCGAACGCCGGCCGCACTCACCGAAGGACCAGACGTCCGACTTGCTGCTGTACTTGTTGAAGTACAGGACTTCGGGAGGAGACCACTTGATGGGTAACTTGGTCCCCGAGCTGATGTACTCGTCATCCAGCACGTACCTGGCGGGGTGGGGACACACCGCGTTAGCCACCTCCACTCCGCTTACCTCGAAGCCCTTTCGTCCACTCTGACTAGTTAAAAGACAGAATTTACCCAGAAATTTTATGTTAAAGGGTTTTGCCACAGGAAACATGCATTTGCCAGAGAGAGGGGAAGTGAGAAATCACCTCCCACAGGGGATGGCCATCCCGCAATCCCTTCCCTTTCGTTCTCCTCTTGGGATCTTGGGCGCTCTCTCACACACACCTGACATGACTTTCAAGCTGCCAGTCCAGGACTCAAACACGTGAGTCCAGCACTGTACCCACTGCGCCACCTGCTGGCTCCACCCAGAACTTTCTTCTACACCTTCTCCACTGTCCGCAGAGCAGGGAAGCACTCCTTTGATGTGGTTCCATCCCAGATCAAGTCTCTATGGTGCTTATCTTATTGCGTTTCAGAAAATCATAGCAATTTTGCAGTCTAAAGCGTGGCCCATTGCTTACGTTAGTTATGATACATTCTTTCTTTTTTTTTTGGAGAGATTTTTGCTATAGGGCATGTGCCATTTTTTTTAATTCAGATTTTCAGCTAAGGTTGCCCACGGAACAGCTGGACAGTGACAGGTGGCTTTTGCTCAGGTGCTGAGGCTTATTCATCCCCTTCAAAGCTCAGCGAAGCCGTCAGACTGTGCTCCCTTCAAGCATCCGTGTGGAGGAAGGTTGGCTGGGGCTGTTTTCTATTATAGATCGGTACACTCTGTGTCATGGTTTTACGGCAAAAGCTTAAAAGACCCACACACAGACCATGAGAAGGGTCTGACTCCTGCTGCCCAGGTCTGGCTGTGCGGGACACACAGGGAGCAGCACAGCTACAGAAACGCGTTCAAAGACGAAGAAACGTGTCCATCGTGCGAAGGAGCCCACATCCAGCACGAAAGACTGTCCGTGTTACTAGCTCAGACGGCCCCACGCGAACGCCGGCCGCACTCACCGAAGGACCAGACGTCCGACTTGCTGCTGTACTTGTTGAAGTACAGGACTTCGGGAGGAGACCACTTGATGGGTAACTTGGTCCCCGAGCTGATGTACTCGTCATCCAGCACGTACCTGGCGGGGTGGGGACACACCGCGTTAGCCACCTCCACTCCGCTTACCTCGAAGCCCTTTCGTCCACTCTGACTAGTTAAAAGACAGAATTTACCCAGAAATTTTATGTTAAAGGGTTTTGCCACAGGAAACATGCATTTGCCAGAGAGAGGGGAAGTGAGAAATCACCTCCCACAGGGGATGGCCATCCCGCAATCCCTTCCCTTTCGTTCTCCTCTTGGGATCTTGGGCGCTCTCTCACACACACCTGACATGACTTTCAAGCTGCCAGTCCAGGACTCAAACACGTGAGTCCAGCACTGTACCCACTGCGCCACCTGCTGGCTCCACCCAGAACTTTCTTCTACACCTTCTCCACTGTCCGCAGAGCAGGGAAGCACTCCTTTGATGTGGTTCCATCCCAGATCAAGTCTCTATGGTGCTTATCTTATTGCGTTTCAGAAAATCATAGCAATTTTGCAGTCTAAAGCGTGGCCCATTGCTTACGTTAGTTATGATACATTCTTTCTTTTTTTTTTGGAGAGATTTTTGCTATAGGGCATGTGCACTTGCCAGAAAGACAGAGAGAGACAGAGAGACAGAGAGAAATCACCCCCCCTGGGGGGGGATGGTCACACCACAATCCCTTCTCCTCCATTCTCCTCTCAGGATCTTGGGCACACACGCACACGTGCCCAGTGTGAGTTTAAGCCACAGGGTCCAGGACTCGAACCGCGGTTGAATACATGGGAGTCCAGCAGCATAGCCAATACACCAACTGCTGGTCCCAGTTAAGTTGATACAGTCTTAACTTGGCGAAGAAACATGAGGCTTGCTCTAACAACCAGTGTTATAAAAAGGAAATAAAAGATAAATAATAGATCACGCTTTTCAGAATGGAGAACAAGTTAAATTGGATGGCATGCTTTCTTTTAAGTACGGATATTCTGTGGAGCTTCGGCAAAGGGAGAAATAAATACACAATATTTTGGACGGGAAAAATCTCTGATGTGTTAGACTGCTTCTACAGGGAGAGACATCAGGCGAAACAACCATCCCCTCAAAAAATCAACCGCAGAACCACAAAACGAAGCCCTCTCTCTGTTGGTGGCAAGTATATGCAGGAATATTAAAGTGTGGGAATCTGATGAGAAGACAACGAACTAGTGCTAGAAGAAGGGGAGTAGAAGGGACAGGGCAGGAGGACTGGGCGCCGGGGGGCACTGAGTCGGGTCCTGTGTCTGTGCCCCAGGAGGGCTGCCCAGGACCACAGCGGGGGACTCTCCCCACCTCCCACAGGTTAGTGGGATTCAAAACCAAGACAGAACCAAAGGCAGCAGGATTCCAGAGAAAAAGGGCTGTGGATGTGCCTGGGTACGTGGCCCCGAGACAGCCACGGCACTTTCTCATCCTAGGGAGTGCGGCTCTGGAGGAGTCTGGCAGATGGGAACTCAGGAGGGGTGGCCACCGCCCGTGTGGATGGCCGCCGGTGTGGACGGCTGCCGGCATGGACTACCACCCGTGTGGATGGCCGCAGGCGTGGATGACCACTCGTGTGGATGGCTGCCCATGTGGATGGTCGCCAGTGTGGACAGCTGCCGGCATGGACGGCTGCCCGAGTGGATGGCCGCCAGTATGAATGGCCGCCCGTGTGGATGGCCATCGAAAGACAGACAGTAGGGTGGTAGCTGCAGGATGCCAGGGCTTGGAAAGCACCAAGACCAGACAGGCCACTTCCCTGCTGCACCGCGGCCCCAGGAAACACGCACAGCATGGGCTTTGATGCTGAGGAAAGTGGGAGAGGAGCTCTGCTTCACTGGGGTGACATTTCTAGCAACCCCCAAAAAGGGGCCTCAAATGTGAGCTATTGGGTCGGCAGGAAAGTCATGATAGAAAAATACAAGGCTTTCCCAACAATCTAATATATTAACTTGCAGGAAAATGTGGTTCTATTTTTTAACACTCTTGAGTTGTAGATTTAAACTACCACACTCAACAATTTAAAAATCTGATGATCAAATAGAAAAATCAGAGCTGAACAAAGACATTTATTCCTTTTTCTTTCAAAAATGGATACATATCAGAAAAGCACTTCCTTAGGGTTACACACTAGGTGGACTAAGAGATTCTCTCTCTAATTTTAAGGTATACCATAGCTTTGTTGATAACGACCCGAAAGAAGATGAGAACAGCTGACGGTGGGTATTTATCTCTCCCCTGAATTCAGGGCCTGTCCTAAATTCAAACGGGGTCACCAGACCACACAACCACACCCACACCAACACTTCCCTCAGAGAAAACAAACGAAGCCAGCAGCACCTTCAATTAGCCAGCAGACAAATGCACGGTGCTTTCTTATAGTCAGCAAACAGAAATACGTATGTGTCACATACCTCGTCATTCCAAAGTCCGAAATTTTTACTACGCACGTAGAACTAACCAAGCAATTCCTCGCCGCCTATAGAGAAAAGAAAAGGATTTAAGTTTGAATATGAGTTTTTCCCCCGAGTCTCTATTCCCCTTTTACTGAATCTCTTCGGGCCCCGCCATCTCTCTTGGCTGTGAAGTTATTGAATGGTGACACCTATCAATGATACATACGATTCATTGCTATCATTATTTTATTTATTATGTCTTTAGAGAGATTTTTCTATAGGGCGCGTGAGCTCACTGGAGAGACAGAGAGACAGAAGCAAGAAATCACCCCCCAGCGGGGATGGCCACACCGCAATCCCTTCTCCTCCATTCTCCTCTCGGGATCTTGGGCACACACGCACATGCCCCTGACGTGAAGTTTTAAGTTTCTGGATCTGGGACTCAAATTGCAACAGACTACATAGCATTGTAACTATTATGCCATCTGCTGGGTCCTCATTATTATTATTATTTTTTAATTTGACCAGAAAGAGAGAGAGAGAAAGGGAAAGTGAGAAAGCACCTGCCAGGTCCGGGACTTGAACTGCCGTCACCTAAGGGGGAGTTCGGCATCTTAACCTCCAGGCCACCTGCTGGTCCCAGATACATATGATTCAATAGTTTGCCTGCATGGATGGATTTTGGTAATTGCTCAAAGGAGTATAAAAAATGAAAATAGATTGTAACATTTTTACCTTTTAAAGTGTTTTATCTTTCTCAAAACATTTCTTCGATAAATATGAGGATTAGTTCAATCTACGAGATGATAAACTAAGACTTTTGGCATTAGAAAATAGTCTGCAATTTTTGCTTATTTAAATAAACAGGAAAGCCCAATATACATGGCAGAGGAGGCATAGTCTTTAATATGTTTAGGGTCTCTCATAGGTAAAAAAAATTAGGAAATTATGCTTTAAAATTTAGATTTCCCGGGACCAGCAGATGGCATAATGGTTACATCACTGGACTCCCACGGAGTTGACCGTGGTCCAAGTCCCAGACTCAGTGATTTAAAACTGATGCCGGGCGCGTGTGCATACATGAGTGCCCAAGATCCCGAGAGAAGAATGGAAGAAAAGGGATTGTGGTGTGGCCATCCTCCTGGGGGTCGATTTCTTTCTTTTTGTCTCTTTGTCTCTGTCTCTCCGGCAAGAGCACGAGCCCTATAGCAAAAACCTCTTTAAACACACACACACACACACACACACACACACACACACAAGACTAAGAATAGATACATACAAGCAAGAAAAGTTTGGAAAAAAAACACCCTTAGATTTCCCTGAATACAACTCTATGACCATAATTTCATGTATCTTAAAATTATCACAGTGAGCTAGACATGACCCTATAGAACACAGAAACAATGCATTTATGTGTTGCCCAAACAAACCCTTTTAGCAACTTAGTCATAAAATCAGGGCAGGCACTGGCTTCAGGTTTCCTTCCTGCTAATCCCTGCGACCCTCCCAACGAGCCCAGGGCAGGAGGTGTTGTAATGCAGCCCCAGGCTGGAAACGAGCCTGCCCCCGCACTGCACAGTAGTGAGAAAGCCAGTAGTCTGTTTCTAGAGTAATGCCGCACAACCTCGACTGCACAGGGAACTCGGAAATGTTCAAAAGCTATTGACAATCTCAGGAGTCAAGTCCTCCAACTGAGAAAGCCTGGAGTCTAGAACTTGGGTAAACAATATCGTCACCGAGCACTTCTCCCGAGCGCTGAGTAAGAAGCGCGACCCTGGGTCAGAGCCAGGCCCGGTGCTTCCCAGGGCCCGGGCCCGGCACCTGCTGGTCCTCGCTCTGCGGAACAGTCCGCCTGGGGAGGGACAGTACTGTCACTCCGGAGTGGGGAGCTCAGTCCTTCCAGGTGACAGCGGCAGGGACGCTCACAGAATCCCCAAGTTCTCACTGGCGCGCGTTTTTTATTTAGAAGCGAGGCGTGGAAGGACACACAAGGAAGAGAGGGACGTCATGAGTAAGTGCAGAGCGGACAGGAGCGGACAGCAGTTACTCCGGACAGAACGACAGAAAAGCAGGGCGCTTAAGGTGTGCTGCAGGGCAAGACAACCCCTGCTTTTGTCTTGTTCTGCTTTTTGTTTTTAAACAGGAATGCTCTAAGCGGTACAGAATAGAGCGCTATAGCCGCCCTTGCCTTCCGGTGATGCCAGCAATACTCTCCCTGTACTGTCAGGACCACGCCCACTCTGACCAGGACACGCCCTCCCTGGCAGGGGCCACGCCCCTTCTGACGGGGACCACGCCCTCTCTGACCAGAGCAGTGGGACCCAGGTGAGGCCAGGACCAGTTCTTCGCTACGGCATCGCCTGTGCCGGCAGGATGCTGGCGTACACCAGGGCCATCGGTACACGTTTGATTTCTGGTTGAAAGGAAGAGAGGATGAGGAAAGAAAGAGGGAAGAAGGACAGGGGGAAGGGAGGAAAATCGGTTTTCTAGTTGGTTGGTTAGGTCATTAATTCGTTACTGCACATTTTGAGTGGAACCTTGGGTAGCTGCAGCACTTACTGGGTGGTTGAGAACAAAGTCACATCTCATAAAAATTGTACAAATTGGTTTTTTTAAAGAGATTTTTGCTACAGGGTGCATGCGCTCGCCAGAAAGACAGAGAGAGACAGAGAGACAAAGCAAGAAATCACCCCCCCCAGGGGGGATGGCCATGCCGCAATCCCTTCTCCTCCATTCTTTTCTCAGGATCTTGGGCACACAATTATTTTTTCTTTTTTTGAGAGAGTTGTGCTGGGCCTGTACACCTGTTGGGGAAACAGAGAGACAGAGAGAAACAGAGAGACAGAAGTGAGAAATCGCTCCCCGGGGGATGGACATGCTGCAATCCCTTCTCCTTCAGTTCCCTCTCAGGATTTTGGGCACACACACACATGTGCCTGGTGTAAGTTTCAAGCCACCAGATCTGGGACTCGAACCATGGTCTGGCACGTGGGAGTCCAACACCTTAACCATGGTGTCACTTGCTGGGCCCTATTATTATTATTTTTAAATTTGCTATAGGACGGGTACACTCACCAGAGAGAGACAGAGAGAGAAAGTGAGAAAGCAAGCCATGAGGTCCGGCCTCGAACCATGGTCAGCCATGTGGGAGTCCAGCACCTTAACCACCGTGCCATCTACTGGCCGTGGAAACTGTTTAGAACGAAGTGAAAGACAGTACTGATGCACGGACACCACGGTGGCGCCCCGAGTGGCGGTGCGGCGGATCTGCTGCAGTGGTGGCGACACTCACGAGGTCCCGGTGGATGAAGCTGTTCCGCTCCAGGTACGCCATGCCCTCACAGACGTCCTGGCACATGCTCAGCAGCATCTCCTTCCGGAGTGCCCCGCGCCGGTCCCCGAGGTAGGTGAGCAAGCAGCCGTTGTCCATGAACTCCATCACTATATAGAAGGGCTTCCTCTGGATGCCCACCCCGAACAGCTGGACCAGCCTCGGGTGGGACAGCTTCCTGCGGACGAGAAACGGCCATGAGCAGAGCTGTTCTCGATGTTTGAACAAATTGGTAACAATTACCAACCATAGGTCACTTTCATTATCAAGATAAGGTGCAAATCCACCCAGCCACAGGGAAGGGAGAGCATTCCTTTCCACTTTGTGCCCGGGCACAGCAGACTCAAGAGTAGACATTTTGGCTGCAGGAAAGAACGCGTCCCATGCTCTACTCCACAGCCATGGCTTTCTCCCCTCTGTTGCGTGAGCCTTTGCTTCCTCTGTGCCGCTGCTGGCCCAGGGTGGAGTCCCCAGGCCCTGGGAGTCTGCCCAGCCTGGAGGACAGGTGCCGATGCACACAGAAAAGGAAAGTAATTCTTAAAGATCACAGCCACTTAAAATGAGAACGTTGGAGATGAAAAAACATCTACCAACAGGAGACCCTGCTAAACGATTAGTAACCACACGAGTGCACGCACAAGCACACGCGCACACACACAAACAAGCACACACACGGTCCTTGAACACTGCCCAGCAAAACACCCAGAACTTTTTCATCATCTGGATTTCAAAAATGTAATCTCTTGGGGGTCAGCAGATGGCATGATGATTACATCACTGGACTTCCACATGGCCGACTCTGGTTCAAGTCCCAGACTTGGCGACTTAAAACTCAATGCCAGGCAGATGTGCATGGGTGCTCAAGATCCTGGGAGGAGAATGAAAGAAAGGTTTGCATCATGTCCATCCTCCCGAGGGTGATTTCTCACTTCCCTCTCACTGTGTCTTGTCTGTCTGTCTCTCTGGGGAGCACACATGCCCTAAGGCAAAAACTTCTAAAAAAAAATGTAATCTTCTTTTTTTGTTAAGTTTTTGCCGTAGGGCACATGCGCTTGCCAAAGAAAGACAGTGAGAGGGAGAGTGAAAAGTCACCCCTCGGGGGATGGCCATGTCACAATCCTTTCTCCTGCAGTCTCTGCTTGAGATTTTGGGCAAGCAAACACATGCACCCAGCCTGACTTTCAAGTCGCGGAGTCCAGGACTCGAACCTTGGTTAGTCATGACAGAATCCGCACCACCTGCTGGCCCCTAATAGACATTTCAATTCCATGACGTGCACTTTCAGTTAAGGGATACAGCTCACCTGTGTGCAGAGTACTGGTGCAAAGGCAATTCTTCAGGTGGAATAATTTGCCTTAAGAAATGCACCGAATTGCACCCACGGGTAAGCTCCCGAGACCTGAACCATCAGCCTGCGTTTGCTTAGCCAGAGCCGGAAAGACCCGGCAGAAACCAAGCACACCCCAACAGGAGGATGGCAAAAGCCAACACATAAACCTTGTGTGTGGAAGAGCCGGAAAGATCCGGCAGAAATAAAGCACACCCCAACAGGAGGACGGCAAAAGCCAACACATAAACCTTGTGTGTGGCATTGTCTAAAAAAACAATGGGTGGGTCCAGCAGTTGGCGTCATGGCTATGTCGCTGGACTCCCATGTAGCTGACCGCAGTTCGAGTCCTAGACCCAGTGGCTTAAACTCACGCTGGGCTCATGTGCGTGGGTGCCCAAGATCCCGAGAGGAGAATGGAGGAGAAGGGATTGTGGTGTGGCCATCCGCCCTGGGGAGTGATTTCTCGCTTTCTGTCTGTCTGTCTCTCTCTGTCTTTCTGTTGAGCACACACGCCCTATAGCAAAATCCTTTCAAAAAAAAAAAGAGAGAAAAAAAACTGATGAATATTTCTCATGAGTGCCCCAAAGTGCAAAGTATTGTCTTATTTGCTGTCTTAATATGCTTTATTTCTCTGTTGAGGGGGGTATATGTGGTTCGTTGTACAATAAACATGTCTCATTTATTTAAATATGTTATTTAAATATCATTAGATCCTCTGCAGGCTTCTCCTCTTCCCCTTGTCTAATTATTCTCTCTCCCTCAGGAATTGCCTCGAGCTGCAGGGTTTTAACTGTCACCTCTGATGGCCACTCTCGGTGTCACACCCTCCCCGCTGACCTTTGCCCTGAACCCCAGGCTGTGCATTTCTACCTGACCACTCGGTCACGCCTGGCGATCTCAGGGTCGCTCGGATTCAGGGGCTCTGACACTAACCTCCTGATCCCCACATCTGTTCAGTCTCCCCATCTTAACGACATCACCTCTGCCAGACAGGGCGCTGCGGAACCGGAAGTCATCTCTGTTCCCCGACTCCTGCCATCATTTGCCACATTCAGCTTATCAGCAAATCTTGCTGGCTTGATCGCAAATGTGTCCTGAAACTGTCCTCGTCTTCCGGTCTCCGCCACCTTCTTCCACCTCCGCTCCTGCCCACCCTCCCCCTTGTAGTCTTGTTTTGTTATTACTTGAGGTGGTGATCGTACATATTTATGGAGGAAACTGATGGCCAAGGCGGACATACATCGCCGAACGATTACACCATGGAATTAGCGTTTCCACAAACTCCACGCGTTTCACTGTGGCGAGAACACGCATGACGCTGTTGTTAACCATGTTCATCCTACTGTCGCGGCTGCATGCGTATCCCCAGGCAGTGACATCAGTGTGTCGGAGAGTCTAGTCCACTCCTCTCTGTCTCTGTCTCTGTCTCTCCAGTGAGTTCACACACTCTATGGGAAAAGTCTTAAAGAAGAAAACATAAGAACATTTCCTTCCTTTTCCTGCTTTCCAAACGTTCTGTGTTTTAAATACTCTGTCAAGTACTACCGTCATATCTGGATAAAAAGTACCGTGAGAGCCGTCAGAATCAAAACGGAGTCATACGTGTCAACTGTGCTGGACCCTGGCTAGCCAGAGCCGGGAAGGCCAGAGGAGTCAGTTCTGTGATGACCAAAACTGTCACAAGGACTCAGCCAAAACCGTGACCTGGTGCCCAGACCACTGTGACCCGACATGACATGAGAGGCGCTTGAACGAGGACATCTGCCCAGAAACCGCGCTCCAACCAGTGACACCGACGGTGCCAGCCAGGGCGCCGCTGACAAGCGTGACATCATCACACCCTTCTGACTGCCCCTCTCATGGATCGGGAAAGTTAGAAAGTGCTTTGCCAACAGTCCCATGAAAAACACTGGGCAGAGCTTCTCATCGAAGCCAGAGCCGTGAGTGACCCCTTATCTGAGGTAACCCCGCCACACTGTGGCTTTGGCCCGCAGACCTGCCTCCGGGCGCAGAACGCACACCCAGCCTGTTTAACCTGTGCCTCTAAAACGCCCAGTGACTCTCGTCTTACTGAGCATCGTGTCCTGTCAAGAAAACGTAAAGTAAATAACACAAATTATCTTTTAAAAATAATAACAGTTATTTTATTTAAATAAACAGGCTAAAGTGCAACTAAAAATCTTGATTATTCATAAAGTACCCTTGAAGAAAAACACTCAGGAAGAGGAAGGCAAGAAGGACAAGGAAGTTATCCGTTTTCACTTTACTCCGCTCAGTGTAATATGAATATAAAATGTTGGGGCCAGCAGTGGTGGGGTGGTAGGGGCCCTGGACTCCCACATGGCTGACCACGGTTCAAGTCTCAGACCTAGCAGCTTGCTTTCTCGCTTTCTCTCTCCCTCTCTGTCTCTCTTTGGTGAGTACATGTGCCCTCTAGCAAATTTAATGATAATAACAATACATAAAATTAACCAAAATATAAAAAAGAATATAAAATGTTAAAGCATTTCTTTCCATAGTAATAACAATACATAAACTTAACCAAAATATAACAAAGAATATAAAATGTTAAAGCTTTTCTTTCCAAATAAAAATTTGAGACTGTAAGGGAGGGGAGTGGGTCACGGAGCGTAGGTGGTGGAAGGTGGATGTGAGGTGCAAAGGGAAGGAACAGTTAAGAGACAAAAAAAAAAGTAAAGTTTTTCCTCTCCCCCTTTGTATATATATAGTGCACACCACAATGGGGACCTTACGTAAAATGTGAAATTAACCTGAAGCTTAAAAAAGTATTCAGTTAAAAAAGAATAACATGAAGAAAGGAATACTCTACATACACCTTAAAAGCTTTTTCTTGGGACCAGCAGTTAGCATAATGGCTGGCTATGTTGTTGGACTCCCATGTAACCAACAAGGGTTCGAGTCCCGGACCCTGTGGCTTAAACTCACGCCGGGCGTGTGTGCGTGCATGCCCAGGACCCCAAGAGGAGAAGGGATTGCAGCGTGGCCATCCCCCATGGGGGGTGATTTCTCACTTTCTGTCTCTCTGTCTCTCTCTGTCTTTCTGGTGAGCGCACACACCCTATAGCAAAAACCTCTCCAAAAAAGAAGTTTTTCTTTTTTGGGGACTGGCAGATAGCATAATGGTCACATCGCTGGACTCCCGCGTAGTCGACTACGGTTTAAGTTGTAGGCCTGGTGGCTTCAAACTCAGGCTGGGCATATGTGCATGCATGCCCAAGATCCTGAGAGGAAAATGGAGGAGAAGGGATTGGGG